CTTTCTGAGACTAGCTGAATGATGTCATATTACGCCCTGCAGTCTAATCAGTCGTGAAGAAAAATAACCTTTTTTTATTCAACTCATCTTAGGGAAATCCACTAGGGGCTGTGTGAGTCTCTAGCATTGTATGTCACAGTGTTTGTCTACCATATCTGCTGATAACCAAATAGGTGTATTTATATTGTTGTTTCGTGAAATAAAATTTTATTTAGCCAGTATTCTGTTTATTTGCTACAGAAATAATCACTGAACAAGTTTCTCCAGAAGGCTCAACAGCATGACGTCATTATTTTTGCATCATCAACAGAAATAGGAAGTGCTTCTAAGATGACTGACTTCATGAAATTTGCAATGAATCTAAATATTTCTAGCTCTTCACAAGAGCCTCGGAATAATTTTTCATGTCCACGAATGTAAATACAACTTGGTTCTCCTCCAGGATGTGAATTTAGATGCTCCGGATTGCTCCAAAATGGAAAATCCTGCTGTTCCAAAGTGCTCCAATATGAAAATTTTGCTGCTTCGAAAATTGCTCCAAATAGGAAAACCTCGGTGGCATCACTGCAAAAAAGAAAAGGATGAAATGACATCTTGAAATGTCAAGTGCCACTTTGTAGTGCGGGGCCAAGATGTGCTCCGGGCGGCCTTCTTTTTGTGAGGAGAAGCTTTGCAGCCATCACGAGCACCTCGCACCCCAGTAACATGTGGGCCTCACACGTAACCAGAGTAGCTTCTAAGATTGTGCACTAAGATCAGCCGCTGCACAAATGCGGCGGAGAAGACCATTTGAGGCTGTCAACGAAACCAACCTCTGTACGGCTGCGGTTGTCCTAGGCTGATGCAAAACATCGTTGCCATTAGATCTTGAAACTGAGGTGCTGTCATATTTGTGGAATCTCGATGTGGAGAGTGCCACAAACACAAGGCGGCGGTGCCAATGCTTGACTCACTAGGAGGGCCCACGGCAGACAACCCGTGGTGCCGTCTACTGCGGACCGCCGCAAAAGCTAACCGCTCGCTCCAGTCGCCACACGCCAAAGAGAACCGCTCATCTGTCATGTGCTGCCACCCAGGCTTGCCACCAGGCGTCACTTCCGGCACGACCATACTCACCATGATGATGAATGATGGTGGTGATGAACGCTTTCGAGCACAACGCCACCTAATGCTCGACAGTTGCAACACTGAATGCGACCTTTGCGTGACAAATGTGCCACGAGGTGCAAACAACTTTACAGGGTGTATTAGCACCCCCATATCTTCAGACTCAACGCTCGTTCGCACTCGATTCCGGTGCGGTTGCAAAATATTCTCCAGTGGCACAGTTTCACACCCATGCCGGCATGATGACAATGCCATAGGAGCGACTAGCGACATTGTATGCTGCCCTGTGTCTGATAAAACAATAGAAGCGAAACTAAAGCTGCGGAAAACTTGTTGAAAAGGCCACCTTCATGCATTATACGTGTGGTGGATCATCAGAAGTGATTTTTGTGAAATAAATCTTCCGACTCCAAACAACAGCTTTCTAGTGAATGGTTGGCATAAATTGCAGGCACTTATTAGTACTTGTAAGCACTGTCAGATTTCGAAGTTGACACGACAACTTGATAGTTGACTTGCAAAGGCTCTTTGAACGACAGAAGTTTGATGTTAAAGAAGCATCATTAGGAGTGGTATGCAATCCTTTCAAGTTCGTTAGCCAAGCACATTTTCCCAACAACACGTGCACATAGGTTTGTGCAAAGGCTTATCAAAAACCACTATGTAGCTAAAATGGGCAAATTCTGATTGATTCTCAAAATTCAGTATCTGGACTAACTATACTTGGAAGTGCGAAGTTCACAAGAGACAATTTCAATGTGACGAAATTGGCGATTGAAAATCATATATCACTGGTGATCGATTTGAATAGGCATGGTAATGAAAGAGTTAAAAAAGCAGTTTATGGTTACTGGGAAAAGTTTAGTGGGTATCCTTTAATAGTTTCATTCACCGAAAAAGCTTTAAGGTACTTAGGTAGCAGAAAGAGACCACAAGAAGAAGCCGAGCACGGCAAGAATGTGAGCATTGCTATTTATATACATCATATTTCTCATGGAATCAAAAAGATTGAAGAAGAGCATGGTACAAATGTGCTTTTGTCATTCTTTAAGGTTGTGAGAATTGCAAAAAAAGAAAGATACCTTTGAAACAAAACAATGGCATTGTGACACATGCTCATAGATTCTAAAACGAAATTCCCTTCGTGTGTGAGAAATGCGGCACTGGACAGAACAGACATTGTATTGACACCTGGTTAAGAGAGCATAGATACGCAACAGAGAGGCTGTAATCACTTGGGCATCTAGCTACACATTGTGAATGATGTGGTTGCAAGCCCATTTTAATGAAACTAAAAAGTGGGCTTGTCGCAGCTCTAAAAAAAGCACATAAAATAGGGGAAGCTCATTTTGTGTGAAAAAACAGCTTGAAAAACCACGAGCACCCTCTTTACGACACTGAATGAGTTATCCTTTAACTTTGTGGACAGCCATTAGATTAGCCTTTCTTACCTATGCATAATCTTGTGTCCTCAATTGGCTTGATTTCCGTCTTTCAGTTTGTGATTTGATACCCCACTTAGTCTTCTTAGGACAAGTGGTAGCCGTGGAGCCGAACCATGACAGTTAAATAACTTTAAAAATAAAGATGGGATGGAACACATTCAGCTAAAATTCTCAAATTGTGAATAGATAGTAGTCTACTACTATCCAGGAAGGTATATACCAGGAAGGTGTATAACAACTGCATATTACCGCTACTTACAGAACAGAAACTTGAAGCATTACAAAGAGAGTTCAACTGAAATTGAGCATGATGCATCGAGAGATGGAAAGGAAAAAGATAGGTGTAACCTTGAGAGACGGCAAGAGAGCAGAGTGGGTCAGGGAACACACGGGGGTTTGGGGTATCATAGTTGAAATCAAGAAGAAGAAATGGACATGGGCTAGGTTCATAGTGCGTAGGCAGGATAACTGCTTGTCATTAAGGATGAGTAAATTCCAAGAGAAGGCAAGCGTGTGAGGGGGAGACAGAAAATTAAGTGGATGGATGAGATTAAGAAGTTAGCAGGTATAACATGGCAGCAGAAAACGCAGGACTTGGTTGATTGGCAGAACATAGGAGAGGCGCTTGCCTCACTATGGGTGTAGTCAGGCTGATAATTGTTATGAGAGATGCCGTAGTGGAGGGCTCCGGAAATTTCAACCACCTGGGGTTCTTAAACGTGTACCCAAATCTGAGCACACGGGTCTGCAGCGTTTTCTTTTCGCTTCCACCAAAAATGCAGCCGCTGCAACCAGGATTCGATCCCGTGACTTATAGCTCAGCCGCTGAGTACCTTAGCCACTATATCACCGTGTCAGGGCTTAATTAGCTTTTTTAGGGGTGAAGCTCCTTAGGGCGTGGGCTGTGCGTCCCCTGTAGCCTGTATGTAGCCACCTCTAGTTTAGTTCTTGCAGTGTTCACTAGATGGCGGTACCGTCTCCTGTATGTAGCCACCTCTCGTTTAGTTCTTGTAGTGTTTACTAGATGGTGGTACTTGTAGCTGATGATGAAAAGATGCAAGATGTTATAAACTAGAAAGCGGTACTTGTAGTTGATGAAAGACGCGAGATCTTATAAAATAGGAATGATGTCACATATGGCGCGTGTCATTGGTTGAAGGCAATCGTTCGATTTAGTGCGGCGACGTACGCTAGGGGGAGCATTGTAATAAAATCCGTTCGCTGTTGGCGCGCGCTCGGAGTCGCCGGATGGATAAGGCTGCACAGCAGAGAAAGCGCAAGGCGGCAGCAGCGCGCGCTCGCAGACAGAATCCCGATGTGCGAGCACGCGAGGCAAGGGACATCGCAAGCCATCCATCGTCTAAGAACAAATAAAAGTTGATTTGTGTATATACACACACAGCGTTTCTCACGTCTTTACATGATGATCGACTGGGCGAATTACACGGAAGATTCACAGTTTACCGATGAATCCCTCCGGAGCTTCGCCCATTCATCATCATTCACCCCGTGAATATGCCGTAATTTTTCTTTGCTAGATTTTGGTGTATATTTTACGTCACATCTGTGACTGAAGCATGTCGGCGAAGTCGTAGCAGGCCTACCTTTTGCTTTCTTTTGTGAAAAAAAAATAGGTAAACATTTGCACACATGCTCGTCTCTTTTCCACTTTGTTCACCCTTTTGTGCCTTAAGTTCAACTCAAAAGAACATAGAAGTGTTAATCTGTGTGTTTGTGGCAGTACGTTAACAGTTCCAGGAGACCTCTTCCAACTCTACATGGCCAGAGGACCGGGTACTTTAAATATTGAAGGTCTATAGACCACCCTTCATTAGTTCTGTGCACTACAGATTAGGCAGGAAATACTTTCTAGATTCGCACAGAGAGCTAACTAGGAGGCGGCAGATAGCCTTCCGATTCTTCCGAATCAGCTCCTTCCTGTCACCGGCCACTATGGCCCTGTATACGGACATTTCCCCTAGCTGCTCGGCGTACGATCAACTTGCCACTTTCCCTCATTTGATGTGGCAGTGCCCACGCTAGTGCGTTTGTACAAGGAAGCATCACATCAATGAGACGAACTTCTCGGAGTGCCTCGCAAGTCCCTACCTTGTGTGACAACTCCCGGTGGTCCCGGTATCCTGAGAAGCGATCGGAAACCTTTGGTCCCCGACCCTGTTACGGGTGCTGCCCCTGGTAGGTTCTTAGGAACCTTCTTCCCAGGACGCAAATAAAGTTCATCTGTCTGTCTATAGACATTTGTTGTAGGAATGCTAAAATTTATAGGACTATATTGCAGTGTCATTTTATAGAGCAGTATGTGTGTAATGTAAAGAAACCATACCTGTAAAGAGTGCATTGTTATTGAGGATTTTATTCATGGGTTTTTTCTTCATTGTGTCTGAGAAGCAACATACATCAAGGTTTTTACTTTCTTTGGTGGCTCAGAACTTCGGAGAGCAGCACCAACAGCAGAGAGCCAGAAGTACTGGCACCCAGCACATCATCCCATGTAGAACGAGAGCACATCGACCAAGATTCCAGCAGTAGCCTCCCATCTCAGCTCGATCCTTACTCCACAGATGAGCAGTCGTCACTAGTGCAGCTCCGTCTGGATGAAGCTACAAAGCTGCTTCATGCTGAAAGACAGTAAGCCACTTGCTCTTTCTTGATACACACTGGAATATGTTGGGTGCAGCAAATAGGAGTATATAGTGAATCTTTGTGCCTTTGAAACTCTGTGTGCTTTAAGTATATTTTATTTGTCTATGCCATTACACCTGAGGCAAATACTGTTGAACCCCTTAATAAGAGACACTTTTGTAATGAACAATCGAGTATAAGAGTTTGCTACATCAAAATAAGGTTTGATTAGAAAATAAGAACATGGTACTTTGCTTATGACTTGATGTAGGCGCATAGGCCTGTACTATTTTCATGTATTTTTTTGTTAGACTTAGTTATGATACTTGCCACCCTCTCACTAATGATATAGTATTCCTCTATGTTGCCAGCAATATTCTTATGGATAAAGAACCCCACCCCTAGTTCTCTTCTGTCAAGGAATCTACGGTAGCATATGACGTGTCTGTTCTTTAGCACTGTATAAGCTTCATGTGTCCTCCCATCTTCGCTAAGCCCTATTAGATCCAATTTAACACTAATCCCTCGAAGAGCACAGCTAAACTAGCCTCACTAGATAGCGTTCTAGCGTTAAAGGTAGCCAAGTTCAGATTCCAATGGCGCCCTGTCTGGACCCAGAGATTCTCAGCACCCTCTTCTGCGTCACAGTTCTGACAGCCACCTTGGACAGTTGCTTCGCAGCCACTGGGGAGGGAGGGTCGAGGACTAATTGGTAATTGATATATTGCTTATTGATGGTGGCTAAGTAGTGCACCAGGGTGGCTAATTCTGCTATGGTTGGGGAGTGCATTGCCAGCTGGTGGTTGCCAGGAAGGCCACACCCCAGATTTTCTTATATATATATATATATATATATATATATATATATATATATGAGATATGGCACAACGGGAGCGTTGTCAACAAGGATAAATATATTTATTTCCCAACAGTTTCGGGAGGGGTCCTTCCTTCATCAGGGGATGAACTCATCCCCTGATGAAGGAAGGACCCCTCCCGAAACTGTTGGGAAATAAATATATTTATCCTTGTTGACAACGCTCCCGTTGTGCCATATCTCATACCTTCACGAAGACTAACTGGCCCATTGCATTATTACTCCCACTATATATATATATATATATATATTGTAAGGACGAGAAATATATATATATATATATGAAAGTAGATGCGCTTTCATATTTATAACCTTGCGGCAACCGAAGTTATTCTTCTGCATATAAGCCTTATATATATATATAATATTTTCATCCACTTTTCTTTCTTCTTATTTTGCATTCAATTGGTTCTAATAACTTCCCCTGTACATTCCTTGGCATTACTGTCTGTTAGATCTCATTAATATTGTGTTAAAACACGGAAAAACGAGCCCTTAGGTATACACTTCTTTCCCTTATTTCATTGAACGAGGGTCTCGTAATGGCAGGCTTGGTGTGTTTAGGTTGTATAAGAGGGACAATTAATCAGCTGCCCGCTCATAACAAGTTCACGTGCTATGTGACGCCAAACATGTGCATAAGAGTGTTTTCACACTCGTCGTTTGGCTTATAGATGGCGCTGACTGTCACTCCTACTTCTAAATTCACATGTAAACCCAAAAAGTGGATGGAGGGAAGGCCGCTGTGGTAGCTCAGTGGTTAGAGCATCGAACGCGTTATTCGAAGGTCGTAGGTTCGATTCCTGCTCACGGCTGGTTATTTTTTCATCCACTTTACTTTTTTCTTATTTTACATTCAATTGGTTCTAATAACTTCCCCTGTACATTCCTTGGCATTACTGTCTGTTAGATCTCATTAATATTGTGTTAAAACATGGAAAAACGAGCCCTTAGGTATACACTTTTTTCCTTATATATATATATATATATATATATATATATATATATATATATATATATATATATATATATGGGCCTCTTATTAGTATGGGTTCGTCGCACTTTCTTTAGCGCTGTAGAATACTACATAACTGCTTATCAGTCCTCAACTTCACATTATTCGTAGCTCATCTGATTTTCTCCATTTATACCAAACTCTGTCTTTCTTAAGAAGGAAAAAAAAAAGGCAAGTATCCGAACTTCTGATCCTGCGAGCTTAGTTTAGCTTAGTGCTCTGGATGACTCTGCTTGTCAAGCGTTTATTCTGCCGTAACTTCTTTCTGTCTTGCTTAATTTCGATAATGTTGGCTTCAAAATGTCCGCAATGTCAAAGTTTTGCTGATTTCGAGGGGTAGCAGTCCTGCTTTGACGTTTCCTGTCAACTGGCGAGTTGCGCCCTTCTGTTTTGCGAACTAATCGGCTACTTCTATGTGACTGTTATGTTAAGTGTACACATCGCGGACAGTTGATGGTCATTTAGTTGAGCGCTTCTACAAAGACGTAGAGTCAGTAATTAATAAAATAAAGACACTGTATACTATATTGATGGGCGACTTTAATACCAAAGTAGGCGAAAAACAAGCTGGAGACCATGCCGGGGGGAATATGGCATCCGCTATATATAGGAATGCTAGAGGGCAGTTATTAGTAGAGTTTGCAGAACGTAATAATTTACGGATCTTGAATACCTTCTTCAGAAAACAGGCTAACCGTAAATAGACATGGCAAAATCCTAATGGTGAAACTAAAAAAAGGAATAGACTTCATTCTGTGTGCACACCCAGGCATTGTTCAGGAAGTAGAAGTAGTTGGCAAGATTCGATGCCGTGACCATAAGATGGTAAGAGCTCGTATTCACCTTGATTTAAAAAAGCAATGGCATAAACTGATACGCAAGAAGCCAATTAAGGAGCTAGCGGTGAGAGGTAAAGTACAGGAATTCAGAGTCTTGCTTCAGAATAGATTCGAGGCTCTAAACGAGGTAACTGACGTCAGTGTTGACACAATGAACAATAATTTTATTAGCATCATCAAAGAGTGTGCACTGGAAGTCAGAGGTGCAGTCACTCGACAGGACACTGGGAAACTATTTCAGGAGGCGAGAAATCTCATTAAGAAACGACAAAAAAATTAAAACCTTAAATGTGCAACAGGCAAAATAGAGCTAGCAAAGCTTTCGAAGTTAATGCATAGGCGCAAGGTAGCCGACATCAGAAGGTGTAACATGGCGAGAATTGAGCAGGCTGTAAAAAGCGGATGAAGCCTAAAAGCTGCGAAGGTAAACTTGTGCATAGGCAAAAATCAGATGTATGCTTTAAGGAACAAGAAAAGCAATGTCATAGCCAATATGTATAGGCTAGTCAAGGTGGCGGAGGAGTTCTACCGAGAGCTGTACAGAAGCCACCACAACAAACGGGATGATACCATAAGAAGTATTAACAGCCCAGAAGAATTGGACATCCTACCAGTAATGGCAAGGGAATGAGTGAAAGCTCTAGAAGGATTGCAAAGATTCAAACCCATTGGGGAGGTTAACGTAACAGTGGACCTGCTGAAAGATGGCAGAAAGATTGTGTTAGAAAAACTGGCCATCTTATATACAAAGTGTCTCTCGAGAAGAGTACAAAATTCTTGAAAAACGCAAGCGTATTATTAATCCATGAGAAAGGAGACGTCAAGGACTTGAAAAATTACAGGCTGATCAGTTTACTGTTTGTTCTCTACAAGCTATTTATGAAACTAATAGCTAATAGAATTAGGGCCACATGAGAATCAAATCAACCAAAAGACCAAGCAGGATTTCATACAGGCTACTCCACAATAGACCATATTAGACCATATTTATACTATCAATCAGGGGAAAGAGAAATGCGCGGGATACAAGCTACACCTATACATCACCTTCATAGATTATTAAAGGCTCAGTCGAGATATCACCAGTAATGCAGGCACTATGGAATCAGGGAATCAACGAACCCTACATAAATATATTTGAAGAAATCTACAGTGGATGCACAGCCACCATAATCCTTCATAAAGAAAGTGACAGAATCTTAATAAAGAAGGGTGTAAGACAGGAAGACAGGATTTTTCTATTGCTATGCACCGCATGTTTACAGGAGGTTTTCCGGGCCCTGGATTGGGAAGAGTTAGAGATAAGAGTTAACGGAGAGCATTTTTGTAACCTGCGATTTGCAGATGACATTGCTTTGATGAGTGACTCAGGGGACGAATTACGACTTATGATTACTGAACTGGACACAGAAAAAAGGAAAAGTTGGTCTTAAAATTAATATGTACAAAACGAAAATAAAGTGCAACAATCTCAGCACAAAACAGCACTTCGCGATAGGTGGAGAAACGCGGGAAGTTGTAAAGGAATATGTCTACTTAGACAGGTAGTAACCGCGGAGCCGAACCATGAGAGTGAAATAGCTATAGGAGAATAAGGATGGGGTGGATCACATGTGGCAAGCATTCTCAAATCATGAATGGTAATCTACCACTAGCCCTCTAGAAGAAGGTATATAACAGCTGCACCACTTACCGGTGGTGCAGAAACCTGGAGGCTTGCAAAGAGGGTTCAGCTTAAATTGAAGACCACGCTTCGAGCACTGGAAAGGAAAAAGGATAGGAGTAACCTTAAGAGACAAGAAGAGAGCAGAGTGGGTCAGTGAACAAACCAGGGTTAAGGATATCATAGTTGAAATCAAGAAGAAATGGACGTGGGTCAGGCACATAGCCTGTTGACAAGATAACCGCTGGTCATTAAAGGTAACTGACTAGATTCCTAGAGAAGGAAAGCGCGCGAGGGAGACAGAAAGTTAGGTGGGCTGATGATATCAAAAAGTTTGCAGGTGTAATGTGGAAGCAGAAAGCACAAGACCGGGTTGAATGGCAGATCATGGGAGAGGCTTTTGCCCTACAGTGGGTGCAGTCAGGTTGATGATGATGATGACCTTGCTTATTAGAGACCTCGTATGAGGGTTGAGCACTGTTCCCCACTGCATGTCTCTTATGAAGGGGTTCAGTCGGTCGAACCCCTTTATAAGACACTGAAATAAGAGACAAATGGGTATTAAAGACAGTAGTGTGCCTACAGTAAAATACGGTGTGATAGAAAAATGCATACATGGTACCATGCTTATAAGAGACATCTCATATAAAAGACAAGAATTGCTGCCTAGAGCATGCCTATTATAAAGGGGTTTAACTGTAATTAGTTTTATAGTAAGTTATACAGTTTTAGTTTTATGCCATGACAATGTGTAACATATAGTTGGTTTTGGACAAACTTTTTTGGTGACTAAACATTTATGGTTTTCAGCCATTATTGGCTTTTATTGCTCTGCATTAACTGTAGAATGCAAATAAATATCAAGAAAGTGTGTATAAGACTATTATTGCACAATACAAATTATGTGAAAGTACTTAGAATCCTCAGCCCATACTAATTATTCATTTTAAGTTTGCAATAATTATACAGGTGGTATCAAATTTTAAAGGAGATATGTGGACATAATTTCATCCCAATTGGGCTATCAGAAGTATTGAAAACATGATGTCTAAACTCAAGTTGCCCAAGAATGAATCTTGAGAAAGACTCATTTCAAAGTGAAGGGTCAGCTATGCGGAAAAAATAAGTTTTTTAAGATGATTTCTTTCATCGTGATAGCTTGGCAGTCATGGTTATTGTGAGCATGTAGCTTTAGTGAACTCCTCATGCGAAATGCAGTGGCAAGTAGCCAGGTGATCATTTCCAGGGGACTTTAGAAAATGAGCTCCTTTTAGTTTTCAGTAGCAACTTTGAGCTCTTTAAAAGTGACTTTAAAACTTACTTCCACTTTAATTACAATGTTCAGTTTCTTTCTTTTTTTTTTGTCGTGAAAGTAGAGAAGTTATACTTGTCAAAGCAAATAAACAAAGAAAAGTGTAATTTTCGAAAAAAGTTGCGTTTTTTTAAACGCATCTCCCTTTTAGTCCGTGTTTGAGGACAGAAAATCTGGTTTATCATGCTTGCTACATTTATTTGCCTCACACCATGTCAGCTTTTTTATACAGTATTGCAGTGTCATTCCAGGTGTTTTCTTTTTCCAATTCTAGGCATTAGGAGGCTTAACAAAATCACCCCTTGTAGTATGTCACTGCAGGATAAGCTGGAATAATTACAAGGAAACCTCATTTCTAGATTAATTGTACTATGCAGTCATCAACTTATTTTTTCACAAGGTTTTTGAAATTTCTGCATTTGTTAAATGGAAGCCTGTCGCTGCTCAGTAAAGGTCCTTCCATCTAACAAAGTCCCGACGACATTCCACTTTTGAGATAGTTATTTCCCAACTCTGTAATGAAGTATACATATGCGTGTCTTGCTTGGAAAAATAACTCCTTATCAGCCAAACAGTGCAGACTGCTACAATATCACTTGTGGTTATTTAAAAGCTGGAATTTGTTTCTGGGTTCCTTTGACTATACCAAACAGAAACAATGTTTGGGGTAAGTTAGCAGTGTTTTGCCTATTTCAGGGAGACAGCTCAACTCACCAAAGCACTTGAGAAGCAAATGGCTGAGCTTGGACAACTTCGTGCAAAATATGATGAGCTCCGAAAGTCTCGCCAGGACACACTTAAAGAGGTGACACCCGGATTCATTATGTGTGTGTTGTAGGAAAAAGGTACTTCTATTCTTACAGCTGTTATCTTAATTGATTTAGTGTTGCTTTTTGTTTACAATGTATTAGACATCCAAGGTACACTCAAACCTCAATATAATGAACACGAATATAACAAATTATCAGTTATAATGAAGTAAATTAAAAATAGTAGTGAAATAGATACAGTGTTAAGAATATACCTTCATAATGACTTTTTGGTTATAACAAATGTGTTTTTATGTAAGATCCAACCTTTTATAATGAGGTTTGAGTGTAAATGCATAGCCAATATTGGTCATTCAAGTTGCTGTTCGTTGCTTCTGTAATGTCTCATTGCTATAAATTGGTGTTAAATTTTATATGGAATGTACAAAACTGTGACCCACATAGAAACTGTGGTACATTTTGAATTAATCAACTCATTGAAGTGGTTTGGTTTCCTAGCATTTGTTTTAAATAGAGCTGGAGCTTTGTGTGCATCTGCTAGGTTACATGCCTGTTCATCATGCATAAGTTTTCATCTTGTTAATATAGGCACCATATAAATAGATTTCTTCCCAACTTGAACTACTCTGCTAAGCTACCATGTGAGGATACAAATGGCATGTTAACATTCTAAGTTAATTTTCAGTTTTATTTTTAGCTCTAGTGACAAACATGGTTTTTGTGAATATGCATAGTCCTTGCAATGTCTGGCCATCAGACTGCCAGAATCATTCTCAACAGTCAGCCTTGGCTGCCACACCCAACCATTACCTCTTTCAAGCATAGAACTCTACTTTGTGTGGGAAACGTAATTTATTATTAAAAACAGTGAAATCTTCAGTAGATGCCATTCGCTCACACACACACAAAAAAGCACGAAACGAATAGGTAACCTGAAGAGACCATCATGCATTAAAGGGACACTAAAGGCAAATATTACGTCGTCATTGATGGCTGAAATAGAGATCCAGAAACCTTGTAGTGCTACTTTCGTGCCAAGTAAATGCTTACCTACTTTGAAATGAAAACAAGTTTTAATGGTCCACACGGAGTTAGCGCACTTCAAGTCATCCACCTGGAAAAGGGCCTCTCTGACGTAGCAGTTGCCTTGCCTAATGTTGCCCGTCTTTACTGCCGACATACACAAGCGTTGTAGGAATGCACGGTTACTGGACGATGGTGTCAACATCTTGTGATGCTTTGTGCAACCACTGTCATAGGTATGTTTGTATTGGCCTAGCGTTTCTGAGGGAAAAAATGTTTAAAAATTAGACAACTTATTCATAATTACGTCACTGCTATGCATTCACATTGATAGTAGAATGCACAATGTTTTTGCAATAAAATTTCGTGCTTTGTTGGTTCAAGAGGGCCCTTCTGAATGGCACCGCCTATCGAGCCTAACCAGCTGGAAAGGGAGCTTTTGAACAAATTGCACCATTTCCCATGAATTTCCATTTTCCATGAATGAAATATAAATGGAGAAGCAGCATTTTATGACGTGTTGTAATGCATGAAATGTTCTTTTTTACTGCAGCTGGTTTGATTACTAGTGGTTAATTGTAGTCAGACCCTTTGTCGTTATTGGATCATTTCAAAATGTCCCACTCACGGTGCGTATGGTGTCGTACATTTAGCTTAATTTCTGGACAAGTAGAGCACTGCTGTTGATAATAATGATGTTTTAGATGTTCTGAAATATTGATCTTTCACTCTGACGGAAATTGTTATTTGCCTTTATAGTGTCCCTTTAAGGGTCTGCTGGCTACCGGTAATGAAAGGCTGCAAACCAGTCTTCGTTTTTGCCTAGGTATAAGGGGACTTTGCATGTCTCACTACATCCTTCTTCTTGAAAATTCTTGAAGGTATTTTGTCAGTCATCAGCTGAAATGCTGCGAAAAGATAATATACTACCAGCCCTCTAAGACGGTAGTAGCACTAGGAGACCATCAACTTCATCGACATGCAACTTTGTTCTGATTAAGTGCAGCTCATCATTTCCAGGTTGCTTAGCATTAGCTACATGTGCATTATTGCCAGGCTCCTTCCTCAACTTTTTATTATCGGCCCATTACATGGGTAAGTACTACGTTGCACAAACCGCGCCGAATTACTAAGAAACATCGAGATAATCTTGGAACCCTTTGATGTGATTACGCGCACAACACAAGCATTTCAATTTTCTTCAGGAAACTTACGTGGCTACTAGCAATAATGCTAGAATATTCGACGACACGTGTAGAAATGCCGGCAGGCTTCACCGCTGGTCAGTTCATTGATGACCGACACTGTGTGCTGATATCAGTGTACGCATTTCGCATTTCATTTATTGAAGCCTTAAGGGCGCGGAGGCATTACATAAGGTGGGGGCAAACAATATATGACGGACTATTAATCACGCAAACGCCGAAAAAGGAAGAAAAGATGAAGAAAGGGAGAAAAAACATTTCTAAGAAAAGAAACAAGCAAACAGGAAGTGGTGCACAGCAAGTACAGTGGGCATTGCTTGCTGTAATTTGAGTTTTTGTTTCGCAGCCACAAGTTTGGCCGAATAGAGTTTCACCTTGCAGAAGCCTACTGCTGTCTTCGTCGATATCATGACGTGACAACATGTTATCCCATGCAGTCGACCTAATAACAATAAGACCTTGCCTTTCTTTTCATAAAAAAACTCCCAAGTCTATAATGCAAGTGCGTCTTGGAAGACCAGATCAAGCAGGAAAAATAAAACAAATTAAAAATCTGACTTGGAAACCCAAAGGGAGTAGCATCATGTCAGTCAGAATGGCGAAAGCTTAAAAAAATGTGCTGTTTGAAAACTGGTATTTGAGGCTCACTAGCTTCAAGCGGGAAAAATAAAGTGGTTACCGGGGGGCGGCCACCATTTCAGAAGTGGTTCAAACACAGGCTAGTGTGTACGATATTCTCTTTTCTATTAGTGGATAAGTATAATGGCGCACCACTTTTTTCATGACGGTAAGCGCAAAAAAAAGAACACAAAAAAACAAGGACATGCATGTTCTTTCTTGCGCAGACCGTCATGAGTACATGTTCCAACTAGCCCAGTTCGCTACATTACATCACCTTTCTGTCACACACACTATAAACTTGCCTGCTTGTATTTTCGGTGTTTGCGAGAGAGTGTGTGTACTATATACTCCGTGCAGGACCTATAGGGGGCACCTTGAAAGGCGCGCAGCACCACTTGTGGTGTGGTGAACGCACAACGTTTAGAGTCGTAGCAGACAGCAGCACCTAATCGCTTTGATAGCTATGGTGGCACAAGCGCCCATGGCCAGCGGGTTTGTGCGTGCTTCGAGTAGAATTTAAAGATATCGCAGGGGGACAATCTTACACGATGCCACCATGAATAAATGGGAAAACCTTCACGAAAGCGGCCACCTTTTTTGTGTTAGTGAGGGCTTTGCTGCCCATCGTCAGGAATGACGGCTTAATGCGCGTGTAAAGTGTGCGTAATGCATGAGGCTTGCTGCATAACTATCGCGAAAAGCTGTCATTCTATCGAACTTAAATTATTATCGGTGCTTGCCCACTGCCCGTGTACTTGCAAAATACTCGAAGCGTTTAGAAATATTGATGGCTCCACGGCCACTCGCCGTGGAAACTGTCGTGCTCGTTTGTTGCGGCGTCGTGCCACGACAATTTTCAGCCACTGAGTCTCGCCAAGTGCTTTGCTTGAAGTTGTCGCGGCATCATCGTCGCTCATCATAATCATAGTCTTTACCTCGTCGCTCGCGCAGCTCATGCTAAGAGCTTGAGGCACGGGCGAGTAAGAGAATGCGAGAAGACTTAGTCCAGAGAGGATGGCACATGCCCTGTTCCGTCTTTTGCTTCACCTTGTAAAGTGCTGACGACGACGGCACGGTCACTTCGGCCACCGTCACATGTCTCTCACTATAACCTCTTGCGTTGTTATGTTGCTTTCCGAAACAAAACACCGACATGCACATCTGTCGCAAAGCATCGTTTTTTAATGTATAGTTCTGCTATACTCTATGCCGTGCATCATTTCTGCCTAACATGGAGATTGTTTAACAGTCAAAGAAAAAGTTTTTGAATGAACCAAATTCGAAAGATCGGATTCAATTCAGTACTTCCGGCGGTTATTTCCTTTGGAGCTACAGCACTTGGTTTTAGATGCAGGAGCGTTTGGGATGCCATATGCGATTTGCTACGCGAGACGAAACGAATTGAATTGTAAGGTTATGTAAATGAAACTTATTCGTAAATGACATTATGCTTTTTTTTGTGAATTAAGCTAATTAGTTATTTAGAAAATTATCTATTGCTAAAGATTTTGAGATTTATAAACAAAATGATTTACATAACAAGGCACCGCCCATTTAATCGCCGATCCCCCATGGTGCCTTGCGCCTGTTTAATAAGGACCAACCAACCAACTGACGTACTAGCTTGATCCTATCGAGTGCACATACGCTGCTGGGTGGCTACTTGTGTTTACGGTAAAATGCTTCGTAATTCAGTTTGCCCCTTCACTCATGGACCCATCAACTCAGGAAAGCACTAATTGACCTCGCATTGCATTTCTCAAAACTGCAAACGGTACATGGCAAAGTAGTAATTATTAAGGTGCATTAAAACATCCCATCAGCCTTGATCTGAAATAAAATTTCTTGCATGTGTTTCTTTTCTCACCAGCTCCATGGCAGCAAGAACATCACGCAAGATCGTCGCACCTGCAGAGGGTGTCTCAGACCAATTCAAGCACGCATCGGCAGAATGCGAGTCTCGGCAGAGGAAATGGGAACTAAACACTTTTTACGTCCCACAGCTGTGATCCACTTATTTCGCTGCCCAATAAAGCAGGAACAAGTCGAGAAACTCTGAAACTTCGTTTCCGCAGGACACGGCGTTCTGTTGGTACAATCGACTACGCAGCTGTTCATGATTCAGATAAACTACGTGCTAGCGAACGTTGGGGGAGTGTTTCGTTTTGCTCGGGCTCTCAACGTTTGTCTTCTCTGTCGGCCGTGCGGCTGCGCGCCAGTTTCAGTGCACGGAGTCTATATACAGGAGACTCTCAGTAAACTGAAATCTGTTTAAGGGAAGTGTTACTTAAATGGAACAACTGTCTCTGATATGATTTCATACTTGTAAACTTTCAGCAAACGGAACTCTTGTTAAATGGAACGTGTTTTCTCAGCCCCTACAGGTTCCGTTTAATGACAGTCTTCTGTAGTTGACCATATGAACCTGTTCCTTTGTTACTGCATTATTGACAAATTTATGTGTTAGTTATTTCAATAATACTTCACAAAATGCTTAAAATCAATAGTTAAAGATGCACATCATATTTTAATTGTTCAGTGAAGCTGGTGCACACATTTTCTTGTTGGATGTGAAACTGGCAAGATCTGCAGTGTGTGCCAGGGTTAAAGTATCTCATCCCAATTAGGTTGAAAAAATTATACTAGGTGATGTTATCAATATGTCATTGAAGTCATAGATTTGTGAGACAACTTAATTTACGAGTACTTAAAGGAGTGTTTTAGGGCCCCTTTAATTGAGCAAGACTACCTGTATAGAAAAGGCATATGGAATGAATTCTCTAGCAGTAGTTGTAAATAACCTTAAGACTCCTGTTTTGTGTGATATTGCGGTATTATTTCTTGGCCATTCATTGAATTGTTTGTTTATTTGCAGCTGAGTCAAGTGAGAGCAGAGCACCAAGATGAGCTGGAGTGTATTCTTATTGACCTTGAAGATGAGGCAAGTGGCCGCACATGTTTGGACAAGCGAATGACTGAGCTCAGGGCTCAGGTATGTTATATTTTTTTTTGATAGGTAACCTTTTTAACACAATAGTGTTGACTCGTTGGGCAGAAATTTCGATGCTGGCGACGTTGGTCATGAGTGAAAAATTATTTTTGACTAAAAAATTTAAATAGATGCAAATCAAATGAACGATAAGAACCTTCAGCTCGAGCCCAGGCCGTCTGCTTGGCAAGCGCGTTCTACTACAAAGCCATGCTATTGCTTGAAGCTGCTTCGGGAAAAAAGCTATATCAAAAGCATGTAGTGGAATGTCGTCCTAATGTATGAAATATTGCATTGCAAAAGTGTAGAACCATGCCAGGCGTCAAAGCACGTGAATTGCGCAAGAAGTGATTGTTTTAAAGGCCAACCAATTACAAAGCGCTGTGACATATACACAGTTCATTGCAAAAGCGTCCATGAAGTGAGCAGCTACATAAGTTGGCATGTAGCCTGTACATAAGTTGGCATTTGCAGAAGGAAGCATTATGGCATAGTGGGCGCTTGATTACTGTGTTTGCAGTAGGCATTCTAGGATAGTTTGAAAGGGCCATTGTTACGTGCACAGTCGTTTGTTTCTCTACGCCATGGTTAAGGCATGCACTGATAACCAAGCCAGTTTAGCAATCATGAAGCCAATGACACTGGGCCGAAGTACACTATCACGTTCAACTCTTGAAGGCGGAGATCAAGCATCCTCTAAGTTTTTTTTTTTCCTTTTGATTTGGGAACTACCCTACTTCTGTGCACAATTTTGCAGTGCAGTACATTAGGCTTGTGCGAATAGTAAACTTAAAGTTCGAAGTGATTGATTGATTGATATGTGGTGTTTAACGTCCCAAAACCATCATATGATTGTGAGAGACGCTGTAGTGAAGGGCTCCGAAAATTTCGACCACCTGGGGTTCTTTAATTAGCATGCACCCAAATCTAAGTACATGGGCCTACAGCATTTTTACCTCCTTTGAAGGTTTGAAGAGAGTTAGAAGCAAATAGTGGCTTGGTGGAATAATTTTGAATCAAATTTCAATAGTCTATATTGCATATTATACAGAAAAAGGGTCATATTTATTATGACCCAAATAACCTGCACAATATGTTTTTTTTTTTAAACTGAAACAAGGCCTGTACAAGTGCGATAATTTTTGGTTCAAAGGAAGTGGAAACATCTTTGTATAGCAGCAGTACAGGCAAACCTCGTTAAAACGTAGTTGCAATAAATACCCGGCCAAGTTGTGTAGAGATTAGTGCATTTCGTGACCACTTAAGCCATAGTAGTTCGTCCTACACCTACCGGTTAGTGTGTACCAGCTGTGCACAGTGATCACTTTTTCTGCCATAAAAATTTACTGTGCCATTGAACTTCTCATGTCACAACGTGCCGCAAACGGTTTTTGTTGTTTCTAAAAGTTTGGAGATCAGTTGATCAATTATTCGGACTTCCACGTGATTGCAGCAGTGCCTTTGCTGTTAATCATCGGAAGAGAACGAAGGCGTAGTGGCAACCACCGACAAACGCACTGGTATGACTTATGGTGGACGAAAAGTCTTATCACATCAAGTATTTTCAGCCATCTACTGGGGTACACATGTGGCGTAGCACCACTTTAAGCCTACTGCACGTTTTTAATATAAAACTACCTGAATGCATTGGACTGCCTATCGCTGCAGCGTCTCTCTGCAGGATCGTAATCATGCATGCATCACGTTTGCAGAAACGAAAGCAGCTTGCTATTGCATAGTTGAGCGTTGCTGGTGCTAACGATACCGTGCTAAGCGCATGCATGCAGCACAATAAGGATAGCACTGTTGTAACCATATTGCACGATTTCATTAGGCGACAGCCCAAATGCGCCTCCGTTCGTCGTCGGGACCGTTATAGCATCGCAGAGGGTGCATTGCTTGCAGGTGGCTTGTCATCGCCACGTTAAAGCAACACGCTACTCGTCGCATATGTGTAGTCTGAACTGAAGCGGACGTATTGCACAGCAAGCTGCTCGCCAGTAGTGGCGAGTGTCGAGTAGACGAACCGCGGCACCCCAACTAGCCAGTAGATGATTGGCTGCGTGCAACCGTACTGCGGTAAAAAAAAAGAAAAGAAAAAAAAAGGCATTTTTTTCACTAAGTATGCAGATAGTGATATGCATGTGTCTGAAACAGCTGATTATGTCCATTCTGCTGCTGTGTCAGTCACTGTGTATTTTGGGCACGCATCCTAGGCACCGCTGTGTAGTTTTGAAATGCTCCTTGGAATCGTCGCAGCATGCTATCAGACTGTCGTGCGAGATTATTTTCTGCATTTTAGTAAAAAGAAAGAAAGAACTTTGTGATGGGTAGTGTTGGCAATATTTGCTGTGCCACTGTACTTATTCCATTGTTGGCGGCAATGGTGCACGTGAGAAGATGTGAATTTGTACTTGATGGTTAATGCGTACTACAGTTAGTGGGTAGTTATTTTAGGTTCCTTGGCAGAACGAGATTTTACTTTATTTGGCTTTTTGTAGAATACAAGTGACAACCTGTAAAGTATGTTACATTTTAAAATTAACTATACATACTTAGACAATATAAGCCAGTTTAACAAGCTTATTAACCTGAAAAATGATGAATCGATGGGAGGGTAATATGTTTATTCTACAGTGAAACCACCTATACAGGGAGGTTATATGCGGAATCATGTACACCGATTCGTTATTTAGAATACTTCGATATACAGTTTAAATTCAAATCAAAGTGAATTCAAATATTTTAGTATTCATTCGAATATTTGAAGCATTGGAATGTTCGCACCAGCCAAAAAGGTACTTGCCCGGGCACCTATAATATTGGCGCATACAATAAATTGCACATACAAAAGTATTCCCACATACAATATACACCTACTAGTATAGATGGTTGTATAGGGGTGCTACAAAACTTGTACAAAAAAGTTCTATAATGGACAGAACAAGCTCATGCAAAGACCACAGTGTAGGATGTGTGTAGTACACGCATCCTACATCCTATCCTGTATGGGCCAATACTTTTGTATGTGCAATTTATTGTATGCGCCAATATTGTAGGTGCCTGGGCCAGTGCCTTTTTCTTGATTTTAAGAAAAAAAAAATAACTTATTTTGTGCTTTGTTGCTTTTGTGCCGGTAAAGTCTCTGCTACTAAGACAAAATTGTAAACATTGCTATTTTGCCAGTAGGGGTGTGTGTACAGTGGAATCTCGTTGAATCGTACCCGCATAAGCCCTAGTTTCTTTTCAACCGTAGTTAATACGAATCCCGAACTCGTTTTTTATTTAAGGTAAGGCATTTATTACCTGTTTAGGCCGTAGCTGTACATCGTGTACATGTTGATTAATATGTACCATTCACTTGTCAAATGCCGATCATAGTCTATCATAGTCTTCAATTGTAGTCTCGCGCTCTGACGGGCAGCTGATTATGCCTGGAGTTCACAAAATTCGAGCCGCTCAGGCTACGCGTTGCATGCATATCCGCATATCTCCAAGGCCATTGCGGAGCCTGGGTATCCGGCCTCCTAACTACGCTGCGCGCCATCTTGGAAGCCACGGCGAAGCGGCCTAGTTAGATCCCGTTGCCTACGAGAGCTCGCGAAAGTGGACACATGGATGGATGGATTGATATGGCTGTACCCATTAGGTCGGGCGGCGGCTAACGCCACCTAGCCGTAATACTTAGTGAACCAAAAACTAGTTTTATCTCTTTTTTTTTCTTTAAATAGTGAAGTTGAGAACTGGTACTTTGCAGTGAAAGGTTTGATTTTCACTCGTGCCTTGACTTTAGCCACCAATCAGATAACTTCGTTCTAGTTAATTCTACCAGCTCAAAGTCTTTTTTGCCCTGCCTGTCCCTAAACCACAGTGCTTTGAAAAACTCTGTGCCATCATCCTGAACTATAGGGTGAAGCCCTTTACAAAACATTATAAAGTGTTCGGCAGTTTCTTCTTCCTCTCCACACGCACTGCATACTGTGTCTACCCCTTCGTATTTGGCCCGATATGTCTTGGTTCGCAATACTCCCGTCCTGGCCTCAAACAGTAGAAAACTACCCCGAGTATTATCATAGATCCTTTCCTTGGCAATTTCCTGCTTAAAAGTTCGATAGATCTCCAGCGCCGACTTCTTAATCATGCCAATTCTCCACATGTCAGTCTCCGTTTCCTTCACTTTCTTCTTAACTGATAGTTCTTTTTAATTTGGCCACCTGCTGTTTTCTAAGTATATACCACTCAATTTCCTGGTTTGCTTCCTCCATTTTGTATCGACATTCTTCATGTACAAGTAGCTGAAAACCTTCCTAGCCACTCGCTCCTCCCCTATTTCTCTCAATCGCTTCTCAAATTTTAGCTTGCTGCTAGCTTCCCTGCCCTCGAATGATGTCCATCCCATATCACCTTGTACTTCCTGGTTTGGTGTATTCATGTGAGCTCCTAAGGCAAGCCTACCTATTCCACGTTGCTTAATTTCTAATCTTGCTTGAACTTCTAATCTCATGCACAAGACCGCATTGCCGAACGTCAGCCCAGGAACCATGACACTTTTCCATATTCCTGATGTCACTGTTGTCACTGTCACCACTGATGTCACTGTCACCACTGATGTCACTGTTATAACGGTAGTTGTTTATGTCAGCTTTGTCCCCCCTTCCCTTATCGATCATGCTCGTCCTGCTAAGCTTCCATTCATTGGGGACTTCACCATCAATTATTGTTTTGCACGCTGACTCTCTCAAAGTGTGCTTAGACTTGGGACCCAACACTTTTATCGGCATGATTGGGATGCCATAAGGGCCTGTTGATGTACTACTAGGAACCCTCTTCTCAACCCTTTTCCACTCTCATTGTGAAAATGGAGCCACTGCACCACTTGATCTATCCTTGTCTATTAAGTTGCATAAGCCACTTCTTTGTTGAAAATTTTCTGTCACCTTTGTTCTTATGTATTCAATAGCTTCATCCCCTTCCAGCCTAAGACTTTGAGCAGTAGTTATAAA